TGAGGATGGAAGCCATCCAGCATCATCAAATAGCCACCTTTAGCTGTCTGTACTTCATGAGAAGCAATGCCATATTTAAAAACAGCATTGGCTCTACTTTTTGATAACTTCCACACATTAGTCTAAGCAGCAGATCAGCCTTAGTGAGTTAAAGAACATACTGTTGAGCTCTGTACTTTCTCCAAAATCTACAGAATCTCACAAAGGATTTTCCTAATACATTGGCCAGCAAGTATAATAGACAGGATAATTCAACAAGTCCTAAATCATGGGCTTGTTTTACCAATGTGAGAAGTCTTTCAAATTTTCTTTCACATTCTGGCTTGCTGTATTTACTTTTTTTTTCCAGAGGAAAAAATACTACTATAAATTGAAAGTCAGTATATAATTGTATTGTACACATCTATGACTGTTGACAATATCATCTGGGAGGAACGTTTACTCACTATAAAGAATGAGAAAAGAGTGATAAAAACTTTCTAAAGCTTCAGTTCATTTTTTTTTTTTTTGCAGAATTGGGAATGAATTCTCAGGTAACCTGCCGTTGAGCAATATATATTATCAGCCTTCCCACACCCTTGTTTTTTTGGGTGGAGTACTGAGGATTGAACCAGGGGTGCTTCACCACTGAGCTATATTTTTTATTTTAAGACAGAGTCTCACCAAGTTATTGAGGATAACCTCGAACTTATGATCCTTCTGTCTCAGCCTCCCAAGTAAATGGAATTCTAAGTGTGCACTACTTCCTTTTTTTTAAATTATATTTATTTATTTTGCAGTACTAAGAGTTCATGAACCCAGGGACATACTGAGCTACATACCCAATCCTTTTTATTTTAAGAGAGGGTCTCACTAAGTTGCCCAGTCTCAAACTTGTGATCTTCCTGCCTTGGCCTTCCAAATCACTGAGATTATAGGTGTGTGCCACCATGTCTGGCTTCAGTTTGTATTCTATAGCCTAATGAGTTGTGGCAACATTATGGAAAAGAAAAACAAAACAAAACCCTTGGCTTTCAGAGTTTAGATTTCTGAATAGCAGGTAGGATTGTAGACCTTAACAATTATATATCAATCCAAAATGAGAGAGAGAAAAAGACAGAGACATGTGGACCTGAGTTATTACTACTACCAGTTGTTAGTACTACCAGAATACTAGCCTTATACAAAAAAGGATTAAGGTCCTTTGAGAAGCTCATGTTATGACTCTTTATACACTGAGCCCAAGTGAAACAGACTATCAGATACGATTAAAAGGATCAAGAAGACATGGCAGGAATGATGGGAGACAGAATTGAGAACAAGAAATGTCAAAGCAACCAAAATCTCAGTGTATACAAAGGAAATAGATGGAAAAAAGGCCAATATATATATATATATATATATATATATATATATATATATATATATTTTTTTTTTATTTTTTTTTTTTTCATGGTTCTGGGGATTGAATACAGGGCACTCTACTACTGAACTATATCCTCAGCCCTTTTAATTTATTTATTTTCAGACAGGGTCTTGCTAAATTGCCCAGGTTGGACTTGAACTTGTGATCCTCTTGCTTTAGCCTCCCAAATAAAAGAGATTACAGGAAAAGCACCAACATGCCCAGCCAAGAAAGGCTATTAAAATCAGACATCTTGTGGCTGGGGTTGTGGCTCGGCAGTAGAGCGCTCACCTAGTATGTGTGGGGCCTTGGGTTTGATCCTCAGCACCACATATAAAGAATAAATAAAATAAAGGTATTGTGTCCATTTACAACTAAAAAATATTAAAAAAGAATCAGACATCTTTAAACTGGGATATTAATCTCTCCTCTTCTATTCTGTTATAGAAGCCACTTGACTCCAGCTGTTAAGAAGTGCCTTCTTGCCAGGGTACGTGGCCAACAGCTGAGGCAGGAGGATCATCTCAGCAAAGGCGAGGCAGGCACTAAGCAATTCAGTGAGACACTGTCTCTAAATAAAATACAAATTAGGGCTGAGGATGTGGCTCATTGGTCAAGAGGCCCTGAGTTCAATCCCCAGTACCCACCCTCCCCCCCCAAAAAAGAAGTGCCTTCTTCTCCGAATCCACTGAGAAAGAGTTCTGCTGAGGTTAGAGGCTGAAGATTGCTAGAGGACCGTACACACCTATGTTCAAGAAAAGCTTGCCTATGCTTGGCTGTGATACAAAAGAGAAATAAAATTAGTACTTATATAACTCCATTTCCCACTTTCTATGAACTTTGGCCATTTTAGGATTCAGTGCCCTTTCTATTATCAACCCATGACTTAAAGCTGATCTTGCTCTAGACTCTAGAGAGGACTTCTTCCTCTCTGTTCTTCTAACATCTAATCTGAAGGAAATTAATCTTACTCCCTCCTCACTCTTCCAAGAGGGTATTAAGGAACACAGGAGAAAGACAGAAATATGCAAAACATAGTTCAGAGTTTGAGTCACATAATCTGTGCACTTATAATTTGTTTGCTTAAAGTAATCAGCTAAACCCTGAATGATAAATCATAGTTACTAAAATATGGACTTTCAGAGAGTCAACCAAGGTTGAAATGGGTCAACAGACTTATGTTAAAATAGGAAGCCAATGGACAAGGCTAGGAAGAACATTGAAATCTTAAATTCTCATGACCAAAACAAAAACTAAAACAGTCCAGAGCAAGCAATTATGAAAGATTAACATAAGGTCCTCCATTTCCAACTCTTGAGGAGTAAAAACACTGAAGTATTTGTAAACCTTTGTATGCCATTCTTGGTTTATCATACCAATTGAGACAACGAGATGGAACTACTAATGTTTATGAAACTCCTTAAAAATAAATATTTGCAGCAATTAATCATTCAACCTGCAGACACTGCTATTTCAACTAGAGGATAGTTCAAAATTGTTTTTGTTAATTCTTTTTTTTAAAAACAATTATTTGGGGCTGGGGCTGTAGCTCAGTGGTAAAGGGCTTGCCTCGCATGTGTGAGGCACTGGGTTCGATCCTCAGCACCACATAAAAATAAAGACACTGTTCATCTACAACTAAAAAAAAATTTTTAAAAACCATTTATTTATTTTTTTTAAGTTGTTGTTGGACATAATACCTTTATTTATTTATTTATATGTGGTGCTGAGGATAGAACCCAGGGCCTCGCACATGGTAGACAAAGGCTCTATGGCTGAGCCACTACCCTCAGCCCTTGTTAATTGCTTTTTAAGAACAAAGATGAGCTCCTTCTAACAGAAGTCCAAACTTCTTCTTAGTCTGAATACATACAATATTCATCAACAACCTGAAGTTTGGTTTACCCAGAGCTAAGTAGAGAATGTAACATTCACAGTAGTAACCAAAAAGAATGAATTCCTTGTATCAAGCATAATCTCATACATTGTACATAAATGGGTTGCAGACTTTCCATCTCCTGGTTTACTATAGACTCCAAATCTTTAGTGTCTTTTTTTGATTCTTCCCTCTTCATAAGCAATAGTCAATTTAAAATAAATGTGAATTTAAAATAAATTGTGAATCTTTGATTCACAATTTTTTCTCTAATTTTATGGTTAAAGTCTTACTTTTCAGGCCTCACTAATAAAAGGTTTTTAACTAGTCTCCTGGTGTGTATTCATAAATGTCAATCTACCAAGTTCTTAGTTTGCAATCTACCAAGTTCTTAGTTTGGTATATAAGTTCATCTGCTATCTACTTAAATCTTATTTCTACTTCTCATCTCTTCCTTACTGCTGTTTACTTTGTACTTTCCACAGGAAATGCCCTCATTCTCACTTCATGTTTTGTTTGGTTTGGTGCTGGAAATTGAACCTTGGAACTCCCACTGAGCTATATTCCCAGCACCCACTTCCTCTATGTTCATCCAAATCCTTCCAATCACTCAAAACCCAACTCATGTCCTATCTCTTCTATAAGATGTTCCCTAACCTAACTTTTATTAGTTCTATATTCCTAGCCTTAGTAGATACCATATGATCTAACACAAGATTTATATATTTTCTGCTATGCTTTCTCATATATCCAGCCACATGATAATAAGTCTTTTGAAAACAGGGTCCAAATCCTTTACCCCTTAGCCATTTCTCACGTGCCTACTACAGAATTTGTATTTTGTTAACCCTTCTTGTTTGAAAGGAAAAGGCAATAATTTCATCCTGTTCTTATCATCTGGGTATACATATTTCTCCAATCTTTTCATATACAAATTGAAACTGGACATCAGAATAAGTCAAATTAAGCCACAGTTTCCAAGAACATGCCTATTTACATGAAAAGTTTGATCTGAGTGAAAGAGAAGTATCTTAAGTTTGTCTATAACAAAGTTCCTCATTTAGGCCCTATTACAGTTTGAATATGAAGTGTTCCACAAAAGCTCCTGTGTAAATACAGGAAGTTCAAAGGTAAAAATGACTGGATTATGAGAGCTATGACCTAATTAGTCCATCCCAGTTTGAATGGACTAACTAGATGGTAACTGTAGGTAGGTGGGATATGACTGGAGAAGATAGGTCACTGGGGGCTAGCCCTGAAAGGGTTCATCTTCCCTGATGTCCTTCCCCACTCTCTGCTTCCCAGCCACCACGAGGTGAGTAATACTCCTGCAAGAGTTGACAAAGAGCAAGAAATCATTTAGAAACCCACATTCTCAAGAGGATTAGAGCTATAGACAGAACTAGTAATCTTAAACCAACACACTTTAACATATTAACCCCCAAAATAATTAGGTCACAAACTCATGGTGAATTCATCTTCCCTGTCATATTCCAACATGATATTCTGCCTCACCTTGGGCCCAGAGCAATAGAAGCAGCCTGATATAGACTAAACCTCTGAAACCATGAGCCAAGTGTAACTTTTCCTCCTCCAAATTTTTCTGGTCAGATATTTTGGTCACAGTGACACAAAGCTGACCAACACAGACCCTGTCATACTTCTAACTTAATATGAGGAGTGGAGGGCAGGTACACTGTCATTTATACATTTTCAAAAGGTCTTGATTTATCAACTCACCTATTACATGGGCAGACACAAAGGCCACAGCATTTGTTGAGCTCTGTTAAAGTCTTCTCTGCTTCTCTCATGTCTTTATTTATTTGGTCCATGCCTTCTTCTATTCGGTTTAGTTGTTCTAAGAATGAGTTGTGGAGATTAAGTTTTGTGTTGCATTCAGTGTTAATCAGAATTATAGAGCAGCAAATTCAACCTCAAATCTACCAATAACTCACCACAGTGAACATATTAGAGTCAGAAGTCATATTAGTATTAGAAATTATTAACATGAAAATAATCTTTTACATCCTGATCCTAAGGTACTTGGCATCTCACTGTGGAAAAAATTGTACTAAAGAAAACTGTTCAAAGAAAAACTCTTAAAACCAACTTTTCTTTGCCCAGACCAGATTCCCCTCACTTAATAGGCTCAAAACCTGAGGGCTGTTATAAGACTAATAAAAATTAGACCAGATTACCTAAGGCCAGCTCAAATTAAATATTTCTAAGCTCATCAGAATTTAGGCCTGTTTTAGGACTTGATTTCTGAAGATGATGCAAGAGTATCATAATATCTAAGGTATATATAACCAATGTACACAATAAGCCACACTGGCCTAACACATACTTGGTATACAGTTAGGCACTGCCATCTCTCATTCCAAACCAGCTACGAACATGATATAATTCAAATTATAAAACAATTAAGAAAAATATCACTCTTATTTTACAAAAAGAAGGCATTTCCAAAAGCTGAAATTTATAAGTAGGTAATTTGACAGGGCTTTTTTTTAGCACAGTAAGTCAAAATAAAGAGTTTCTGCTGAGGGGGAGAGGGGGGATAGTAGAGGATAGGAAAGATAGCAGAATACAACAGTCACTAGTATGGCAATATGTAAAAACGTGGATGTGTAACCGATGTGATTCTGCAATCTGTATACGGGGTAAAAATGGGAGTTCATAACCCACTTGAATCAAATGTATGAAATATGATATGTCAAGAGCTTTGTAATGTTTTGAACAACCAATAAAAAAAAAAAAAAAGAGTTTCTGCTAATAACTTCAACTCACCCCCTTGCTCATCCAGCATAGTGATGGTCTTGATTCCTGCATCCTGAGACTAAAAGAAGGGGGGAAGCTGATTGTAAAACAAAACAAACTCAAAATAACAGAAACAAAACCTATAAGAGTTGACAAAGAGCAAGAAAGAATCATTTAGAAACCCACGTTCTCAGAGGATTAGAGCTACAGATAGAACTAGTGATCTTAAACCAACACACTTTAACATATTAACCCCCAAAATAATTAGGTCACAAACTCATGGTGAATTCATCTTCCCTGTCATATTTCAATACTGTCAAAGGGGAAAACAGAAAAGGCCCATTAGTGCATGGTTTGACAATTTTAGCAATTGCTGGTTTAAAATAATAAAGTGTATTGACATGATACCCTTCAACACCAATTCCAGCTAGTGCTGCTAGGATCCCTCCTATAAATTTCTATACTTAATGATTAAACACTTCTTACCTCAATGGCTAAACCCAGGATTCTTCTTGTACTTTCCAGAGACTACGAAAAAATACAGATTTTTAGTATTTCAAATTATGCAAAATATATAGAAAAAAATCTGATTGCAGGTCATATTCATGATGCTACTCTATTTTTAAAAACTGCCAGCCCATCCCTTCATAACAAAACAAAGAACTCTGGCCACCACTCTTTTAGTAATTTTCTTCCTACCAGGTACTTCTTAAGAGAAATGTGACATTGACAGGGTTCATAAAAATTTAATGTAGGTAGAAATCGAAGTATATTACACAGATACCAGGAAACTGTTAAACAAAAACCAAAGTCCCACCAGGCATGGTGGCACACATGCCTGTAATCCCAGCAGTTCAAGAGGCAGGAAGATCGCAGGTTCAAAGCCAGCCTCAGCAATTTAGCGAGACTGTAAGCAACCTAGTGAGACCCTGTCTCAAAAAAAAAAAAAAAAATGTTAAAAAAAAGGGAAGAAAAAAAAAAAAAGAGCTGAGGATGTGGCTCAGGGTTAAGCACATTGAGTTCAATCCTTGGTATCAAAAAAAAAAAAAAAAGTGTCCAGAATTCCTTCCAGAATGCAACTAGGTAATGATTTACCTTTATAAAAAAAAAAAATTCTTTTACCTATATAGTTTTTTGGTGAGTTGGAGGCAAAAGGAGCTAGTAATGGCACTATGGGGCAAAGGCATTCTTTGATGTAAGCAACATAGAAGAATCCAAAATGATCACTAAGAAGATCCTCTCACCCCTCCATTGTGAAACTGAAGTGGAATCAATCACTTATTCTAAGTAAAAACATTTACCTCATCAGTAACCTGGTGAGCCCTCAGTTGAATCTCTTCTGATGACATATTATCCATGATGAATCGAAATTCTATCAGGCACAGAAATGTAAATGTAGATAATCTATAAGAATAAGGATACATGAACATTTGTTTGAGCAAAGAGCATGGATTTACAAAATTTAGGTTCATAGGCAGACAGGATAAATATCTGATCTCTTTATCTACCTGTCTATCTAAATCATAGAAATTAAGGCTAAGAGAGGAAAAGCGGATGTTTAATGGTAGTTAGCACCAAGGGTGAACCTGAAATACAGGTGAAGTACTCTTTCCCTCTACTTTGAAAAACAAGGCATCCGATTGGAAGGCAAGCTTCAAGAGACTATTAAAATTAATTCTTAAGTATGGTGGCACATGCCTGTAATTCCAGCGATTCTAGAGGCTGAGACAGGAGAATCATTTTAAGGCCAATCTGGGCAACTTCAAAATCTTGTCTCAAAAAGAAAAAAAAAGGCAGGAGGTAAGGGGCAGTGCAGGGGGTATCATTCAGTGGTAGAGCACCCCTGGGTTAAATCCCTAGTACCACACACACAAAATAAATAATGAGAGGAAGAGAGGAAGGGAGGAGGAGGAGAATTATTCTTGATTGTACAATGTTCTTCATATGTTGTCTGAATAAAGTCTAAGTAAGGAAGGTAACATATTTCAAAGTGTTGTGAATGTAGAACACAGGATTCATTTCTAAAATATGCCACTTGTCCAAGTTAGTCATAGGAGAAAATGAAATATTTTTCATTCTTTTTTTTAAAAGTATTTATTTTTAGTTGTAGTTGGACACAATATCTTTAATTTTATGCGGTGCTGAGGATTGAACCCAGGGTGCGCACATGCTAGGCGAGTGCTCTACCGCTGAGCCATAACCCCGGCCCCACGTTCTTTTTTTTCATTTGTTCTACTTAGTTGTACGTGACAGCAGAATGCATTTTAATTCATCATACACAAATGGAGTGCAACATTTCAATTCTCTGGCTGTACACGATGTAGAGACACACCATTCATGCAATCATACATGCACCTAGGGTAATGAGGTCCAACTCATTCTACCATCTTTCCTACCCTCAAAACCCCTCCCAACCCTCCCCTTATTTTTCATTCTTAACAAAGAAAGGGTATAAAGCACTCAGAAAAGAGCTAAGGTTTTTATTATGAGAGATTCCTGCCATCCAATTATTTGTATTATTTGTTGTTTTATTGAAGTTTCTAAGAAAACAAACGATATTTCTCTAATACACAGTAACTCAGAAACAAACAAAAAAAAAACCTGTAGACATTCAACTTAAAAAATAAAACATTTGATTAGGTATTATTCAGTTCCACTATTACAAGAAGTCACATAAGTAATAAGCACTGTGGGATGGCTCTAGGTTCTTTTTATCTTTACATTTACTAGCTTTATATTAAATTTTTGAAAACTAATTTATCAAAGCTCTGTCAATGACCAAGATAAAGTCTGGTTCACATTTTAGAATCAGTCTTGGTCACAACTTGAGGGGTGGGGATGTTACTGGCTTCTATCTAGTGGACAGAGGAAAGGGAAGCTACTAAACACCCTTTAACACTTTTGGTGAAAGTTCTTTAACAAAGAATGATCCCAGCCAAAATGCTAAAGGGCTGAGGTGAGAAACCCTGCTATGCACTAATCACTGATAAACAGAAAACCTAATAACCCAGGTAAGGCACAACTCTTGGAGAGTAATTGTTGTATCTTTGTATCTCTAACACCTAACAAGATCTGACAGTATGTACTCTGAAAATATGCTAAATGAACAAATAAATAGAGAAACAGGGTGTACTTTCAAAGTAAAGTGACTCTTAGGAACAAAGATACATTTAACTGCAGTACAAAGACTGCAAACCACCACTAGAATCAGGAACCAAAAACTATTTTTACATGAACAGCTTGCTGGTCAGATACAAACCTTTTCAGTAGAGGATGGTGGTATAGCTCAGTGGCAGAGCACTTGCCTAGCATGCTCAAGGTCCTGGGTTCAACCTCCAACACAGCAAAACAAAAACAAACAAAAGTACCCAAACCTTTTCAATCACTTTTAGTAAGGAATATTACTAATCCTAGTGGTACTAGTACTAGATTTACTACCAACTTCTACTTTTAATAGAATCATATTTGATGACCAAATACATATCAAATGGAAGAAGGCAACACAATCAGAGTCCTTTTCATAATTCTACTGTTCCAAATAAATGTTTTAAGGTACTAGGGATTGAACCAGAGGCAATTTCCCACTGAGTTATATCCCCAACCCTTTTTATTTTGAGACAAGATCTTGATAACTTGCTAAGGGTCTCACTAAATTGCTAAGGCTGGTATTAAACTTGCAATCTGTCTGCCTCAGCACCTTCTCCCTACATGCCCCCCACTTTCTGGGATTACGGGTGTGTGCCACTGTGCCTGGCCATTTTAAGGTTTAATTAAGTGTGCTAAACACAGTGGCACAAGCCTGTAATCCAATGACTTGGAAGGATTAGCCAAGAGGATCACAAGTTTGAGGCCAAACTGGACAATTTAGTGAGATTCTGTCTCAAAATAAAATTTAAAAAGGGCTGGGAATGATGCTCAGTGGTAGAATGTCCCAGTACAACAAAGGCCTGATTCCAAGAGTCATGCCATCTTTTTTTTTTTCTCTTTTAAATCATTATTTATTTGACAGATAACTTCTGAATTAATATAAAGAAATGACAATAACTTATATATACATTAATTCAAAACATTTTCATTAAGCACCAAGTCGAACAGTTTCTTATCTTTTTACCAAAAACACTTTTATCATTGAAAGACTGCCTCAAACTTAGTTTTGCTGGGGTGGGGGGGATGTGGGGGGAGATACCAGTGATTGAACTCAGGGGCATTCAACTACTGAGCCACATCCCCAGCCCTATTTTATATTTTATTTAGAGACGCAGTCTCACTGAGTTGCTCAGCACCTGGCTTTTGCTGAGGCTGGCTTTGAACCCACAATCCTCCTGCCTCAGCCTCCGGAGCCACTGGGATTACAGGTGTGTGCCATCACGCTGGGCATTTATTTAGGCTTTTAATCAGGAAACTTAAAGCTGCCAATCAGAGCTTCTAACTATCATGAGATGACCAGGTTAAAACCCTATGAGTAAAAAATAACTTTTAAGTTTTGACCTATACACTCCAATCGCTGGCCTCAGGCTAGTCATCACAGGTCATAGATCTACAAACCAACTATCATCCTCACAGCTCACAAACAAAATGAATAATGTATATACAAAGTGAGTACAAAATACATGTTCCTGTATATTCCAGGGGAGTAATGCTTATTGCCATGAGCATACAATGCAGCAAGGGGCACAAAAAAATTCACTAACTCACAAGACAGTGGAAGAAATAAAAGTCCTGTGCCCTGGAATGGAGTAGAGGCTTTGTGGACCAGGTAGCATCCAGGCCACACTAGGAACATGAGTGCATATCGAGGCACATGGGGAGGGATCTTCAGGGTTGGAAAGGACAAAATGAACCAAGACAGCCACAGACCTACTGACTATTCAGAAGAGGAGTGTTTGTACTGGCCGAGGGATATAATCTAAGAGTTGCATAAATGGAGAAAAGAAAACCTCTTCTGACAAGACAGCAAAATATTTTCCCCACAGAGGACCCACATGCTCTCTGTGGAGGTGAGGTGCTGGGGTTCATTCACTCTGCAGGTCACCCTCCATCCCAAAGCCCTAGGCTCTTAGAATCAAATCCACTGAGCAAGAACTATCCTTCATGTAAACTGCCTTTTCTCCAAAAAGTAAAACAAAATCACAAGCAAACAAAACAAAACTCAAAAGAAAAAGAATCAGACCAAGCTTTGACCCCTTGTCCATCACTTGTGTGCCAGCTGTCACGCTAGGGAGACTGGGTCTGCTCTGTTACTCACACTGGTTCATTACTATGAGGCCTCCAGCATGTCGTGCTCCTAACACAGCTCCCTCAAGACAGCAAACACCACACAACACATAAACTCAGCCAAACAAAAGGCAGCATCAACTTAAGGATCTACTGTAATATTACTACGCTAACCTAGCATAGTTTAACCTTTATTTCTGTCATATTTACAAAATATCTGCACTCTGTACTGCTATGGAAGCATTACAAATGTTGCATTAGATTCTTCTTGAGGTAGTTCAAAGTCTTGAGACAGCAAATTTAGATATTTTTCTCTACTACCATGGATGTGTAGTAACCGTAAAAGGCCTAAAACCAAATTCTTTCTCCCCAGATTCTAGGACTACTTTAATTTTCCCCCTCAGATTATAACAAACTAACAACCGGAGGGGGGAAAACTATATATAAACTACATAAAATTTTAAAAAGGAGCAAAAAGCCAAGGGGGGCAGGGAATCTGTGGCAAACTAATAGTCTAAACTTTGCTACAGACAAAGCAAACAAAATGAAACCTCACTTTGTCTACCAAGCATTTTATAAAGTACTCAAGTAATTAACAGCTCATAAAAAATGGGGAAATTTTTAGGTGGAAATAAAATTAACACCAACTCATTCTCTGGCAAATAGTTGTTCTAAAATGCCATCTCCACACAGAGAGGTCTAGAGGAACTGTCTGCAACAGGCTACCCTGTAGGCCAGACCTCTCTCAGTTCTGCTTCAAAGGTGCAGGAATATTGGCAGATGCCTGCTCCAGGTAGGCCAAGGGGGCCGAGGGACTTCGGCCGGCTTTTTGTGTTGCACACTGATTTCCTCCAGCACCTGCTGTCAATGCCTCAGCTTTGTCAAGTGCTTTTGCACCAGTGCAACTTTCCACTGCAACTCATTCCTTAGTTCTGAGATGTCCTCTTTGATAACTTGCTCTGGTTTCTGGACAAACAACTGCAATCTTTTTTGTAGAAAAAAAGCATTATGTCTGTCTTGCGATATCCAGAAACTTCTGATAAACACCAGTTCAAATTTCTTCCTGATCGGTGCCATTGACATAATCCTGACAAAGAAGCAAAGCAAGCCTCGAATGACGACTCCAACTCATCCAACAAGGTGCTGCTAGAAGTTTTCGGTGTGCCAGGCACTGCCTGAAGAAGCAAAGC